CAGAGGCCTCAAGTGGAACTTCCTGGGAGCTAGGATTTTTTTTTATTTTGAGCTGGCCTGACGTGCAGAGTTTCTAATGGTGTGTGTAGCAATGGTTAATGACTGATAACCCATGAGCCAGCAGATGGCACTCAAGAATATGCAAGACTTCTTCTGAGATGTGCAAGACCAACAAAACTTGCATCTGCAGTGCCCAACATCTGCCTCACCACACAGAGATGCTACCAGAGGCGACGATCTCAGTGGTGCCCTTCAGGCACCTGGCTAACTCAAAAGTGCTAAGACCACAATGGCTTTAATCTCTCTTAAGGAGGGGATCCAGGCAGCAGGATTTGGATTCAGACCCGTGTCTGGGAGCATCACCACTCCTCCGTCTGTGCTTCCAGCCAGCCCTTCAGCGCAGGGGAAAGCTGTGGGTAAGCATGGCACGGCGCCCACCGCCGCTGAACACCATCAATCTGGCACTCTCAAGAGCGCTACAACCCCTCAGAAACACCACTAAAATATCCAGCAACAAGCCCTCCCCTCCCCTGTGAGCATCACTAGAGCAAGGCCACACTCCCTCCTCCCTGGTCCCAGGCTCTGGCAAGGTGTACCAGTGTGTGAACTGGCATCCGCGGGGCCGTCGGGCAGCTTTGTGAAACACTGACACAGGGCTGCTGGGTGGCAATGCCGGCGCTGGGTTTCAAAGCTGTGAGTACAGCTCTACTCGGCAGCCGGAAAGAAAAAAGGTTTCCAAGCAGGTAAACAAGCTTCATCTTTCGTGAGGTTTTTCCTATTTCCTCTACTCTGCCCTACTCTATTTCTGCTCTGCCCTGGGGAGGCCCCATCTGGAGCACTGGGACCAGTTCTGGGCTCCCCAGTTCCAGAAGGACAGGGAACTGCTGGAGAGGGGACAGCAGAGGCTACAAAGGTGATGAGGGGCCTGGAGCATCTCTCTTGCGAGGAGAGGCTGAGGGACTTGGGTCTTTTGAGTCTGGAGAAGAGAAGGCTGAGGGGGGATCTGATCAATGCTTAGAAATACTTCAAGGGTGGGTGTCAGGAGGATGGGGCTGGTCTTTTTCAGTGGTGCCCAGGGACAGGACAAGAGGAAATGGACACAAACTTGAATGTAAGAAGCTCCACCTAAAGATGAGGAGGAACTTCTTTGCTGTGAGGGTGGCAGAGCCCTGGCAGAGGCTGCCCAGGGAGGGGGGGGAGTCTCCTTCTCTGGAGACATTCCAAACCCCCCCTGGACACATTCTGCTGTGGGTGGCCCTGCTCTGGCAGGGGGTTGGACTAGATGATCTCCAGAGGTCCCATGGGGACAGCCCAGGGCTGCTTGATGCCTCACACGTATCTGCTGCCTCTCAGGCCAAGACAGTTCCCAGCTCATGGAAAATTTTGACAAGAGTAATTTTATTGGTTTTGTTCAGCTTGGACTGAAACGAAATTCCACGGAGGCACTGGGATGGCCCCAAAAGCCTACGTTTTAACCAGTTTAGCTGTACGTCCTTTGAAAGATAACCCAATTCCTGGTTCCCCCCTCTGGGTGAGGTGGCTGCACCACTCGGAATGCTGCCTGGGATCCCTTGCAGAAGCCTGTCTCCGTGCGGAGTGCCGGAAGCTGTAACACAGGCCTCAAGCTGTTAGTGCTGGAAGGGATGGGAACAGCGGAGCACAGATAATCCTGGGTAAACAACCAGAGCTGAGCCTTCACTTGGCAGCATTTTTCCATTGTCTATTATGCACGGCTGGATGAATGTCAATAAATTACCAATGGAAATGAGCCCCGCTGAGCAGTCAGTTTGGCCTCAACAGCTGTTTTCTAGGTAGCGCAGTGGCATTTCAGCTCTGCTTAGCCAGCAGCGGTGAATCAGGGATCACCAACTGCCTCCAGGGGTGGGGAAGGAAGAAAGCAAACCCTGCACAGATGGAGGAAAGCCCCCAAGTCCTACCAGGCTGAGAGCCCACCGAGAGGAGGAGGATGTCTCAGGGGAGGAGAAAGTAAAAAAACACCAAGCAGGGAGCGGTGAGTCACGGGAAGCTGCTCACCTCCTGCCGGGGACCACAGAGGTCACATCATCACCTCTGAGCCATGCTCCACACACTCGCTCCTACAGCTTACCCATGGGGAGCAGTGGTGGGGAACATGGGACAGAGCAATGCAAGGGCTTGCCTAAGATCACTGGGAAGCTTCCCAAGCTTGGGAAGAAAAAGAAAACCATGGATGGATGCAACGAGGGCTGCAGCTCCTCCATCCACACCTTTCAGCGTACACACATCTCTGCATCACCCGACAGTACAACCCCACCTGCCACCCACCTTCTCCACCACACCACCTTACCTGCCACCCACCTTCTCTACCACACCACCTCACCTGCCACCCACCTTCTCCACCATACCACCTCACCTGCCACCCACCTTCTCCACCATACCACCTCACCTGCCACCCACCTTCTCCACCATACCACCTCACCTGCCACCCACCTTCTCCACCATACCACCTCACCTGCCACCCACCTTCTCCACCATACCACCTCACCTGCCACCCACCTTCTCTGCCTCACAACCTCACCTGCCACCCACCTTCTCCACCACACCACCTCACCTGCCACCCACCTTCTCTGCCTCACAACCTCACCTGCCACCCACCTTCTCCACCGCACAACCCCACCTGCCACCCACCTTCTCCACCGTGCCACAGCTCTGCCCACAAAAAGGCAGTCTCACAACCGGTCTGCTCAGGGAAGGAGATGTGAAAAACCGAGGAGGGCAAGGGACACATCTGATCAACATGTCTTCTTCCAGCACATCTGTACTGGTTGGCTCCTTCCAGAGCGAAGTGAGGTGGGTTTGTTAACTGAAGCAACAGCAACCCTGCTTTTGCCCACCCTGAAGGAGTCTCTCAGAGGGACCTTCGACACAGGTCTCCAGCACGACGGCAAGCTACTTTTGTCTGACATATTCTGCAGGAGATCCCATATTTTCACCACCTCTGAAGGCAACAGACCCCACAGCCAGCTGTGAGAGCAGCACAGGGTGGCCAGCAGGCCAGGAGAGCTGGCAGCCAACGCGCCCACTCCCTGCTGCGGAGCTCCTGTAAAAACCACCCGGTGACCTCCCATAAAAACTTTGTGGTCTGCTTTAGGGTGGCCGTTAAAAATAACGACGTCGAGAAATGGGAGGCTCCTGCTTTCAGAAAGAAAGGCATTGTGTTGCAAAGCTGTTGAGACTTGTTTATTATTTAGCATCTGTTTAATTTCAACTAGGAAAATATACCTGAGAGGATGGAGGGCTAAAATCGGTAATTCAATCCTTCAGCCCCAGCCTTAGGGAGCTTTGTAATTAAGACACAGTGAAATCAGAGAGATGATTTCAACTTCTCTTCTTGGAAAGGCAAAACAGATAAAAAGAAAGCCCACCTGCCCACACACTACAGGACATAAAAGGGCTGACAGCAGCCCACAGGCTGTGTGTTCTGGCCATGCAGCTCCCGCAGGCTCTCCTGGTCTCCCCAGCCACCAAGCCACAGCCAAAGTAAACTATGAAATAAGCCTGAACGCAATCAGGAATAGGGAGGGGAGCAGAGCAGCGCTCACAGAAGGGAACTAAGCAAAACACAACCACCCCCTAAACCTTTTCTGGTCACGAGTGAGCCAGGTAACAGTTTGTGCAAACCAGGCAGCCAGTCAAATGCCAGGTCCCCACCAGGGACCCAGAACCAGTTTCCCAATTAAGAACTTGTCACAGGGCAGTAATTGACTGTGGGGTTCATTTCCCAGCTGCAAACAGCAACGGTGGCTATTCCTAAGGGTGCAAGACGGACTGAGTATCAAAAGCTGAACAACAGATTTAGGAACCCCTCAAACAGAAGAAATAAACCTGATCTATAAAGCATTTGTCTGGGGCTTTTTGAGAGTCACCTCAACACTCCTGATGGCAACCTAACAACCCAAATCCCCCGTCTGTGAGCCCCCCCTCTGCAGCGATCCTTCTTTCTTCTATTTCTATAAAGGAGTCCCAGGCCATGACATTCTCCGTTCACTCAGAAGCTCCCTGAAGCAGGTCTTCTGCCCAAGGAAACTGCACCAGCTGTAAGCAGCATTCCAAGTTTTTTCATCCTCTTGGCCACCCACATTTACATGACTCAAGGCACAATTCCACCCGGTGAAGGATGACGCCGACATCCACCACCCATGAGTCCCATAAACCCAGAGAAACCCGGCACGGTGCTGCAGTGCTTTGACCTAGCTCTTCTCCGAGCACCATTCTTTTGGGGAGAAGAAGGGACCCCACCGTAGGGTGGAAGCAAAGACACTGTATGTCATATTCTTCTTCGCAAACCCAATCCTCAGCTTCTCACAGCCAGCCAGGAGGCAGACGCAGCGAGCCACCTCACCCGGGACACCAAGAGCTGGGCTCATTTTCTCTTTGCCAGCGCCTTACGGCTCTTCCTCGACTTTTAAATCTTCCCTAAGGAGAAGGTGGATCACCTTCCCTGAGAAACAAAGGACAGGGCGATTTTCTACTCCCAACCCGAGCGGAAAGACCAGACCTGGGGGTTCATCACAGAGGAAGCAGCAAAGGGAAGACAAACGCGTTCTCTATCGGACTTTTTTTTTTTTTTTTTTTTTTTTCGGTTTGATTGTTTGTTTTCAATGGAAATAAACCTGCTAAACGTTAACGGGAGGGAGAGCACCTCCTGTTTCTACAGCAACCCAGGGCCCGGCGCGGCGCTGGCGGCGGCACCCGGGGGGGAACAAAAGCGACGGAGGCCGCCGGGCAGCGCGGGGCTGTGGGCCACTCGCCACCCCCGGCCCGGCCACTCGCCACCCCGAGGCCCATCACTAGCCACCCACCCCAAACGCAGCGAGGCGACCGCGCCAATAAATAAAGGCGGACAAACCCCCATTGAAGAGGAGGCGGCTCTCCCGCCCCGCCGCCGGCCCCCTCGGGAAGCCCCAGCCTCTTCCCCCACCCCGTCCTCCGCCCCACCTGTGGCGCGGCCCCGCACTCACCCCAGAGCAGGGTGAGGAGCTGCGCCCGCGGCACCAGGCTGAGGGCGTAGACGGCGCCCAGGTGCAGCAGCCCCATCAGCACCACGTTGCGCCAGACGATGGCCTGCCCGCGGCCCGCCGCCGAGCCCGCCTCGCCGCTCGCCGC